AACGTCTTCAGCCGTTGATGCTCACACTTCAAAGGAACCGGTTCCACGGTGAGGTTCTGGCTTTAATAATTCAGTGACTCAGGCCTGCATGCTAATGCAGCATTTAGCGGTTGATTTTATGGACCCATAGCTGGTTTGGTCATGCCAACTAGGATTTGCTGTTCCAGTGGATGAAGGTGTGCCTGGTTTTGTGGCTACTGTTACACATCCTGTATGCAAGGCCACTCCTTGGCTGGAGCTTGGGAACGTCTGCCACACTTGTGCCTGGTTCCTCATAGCAGTACTCCCCGGGTTCAAATCCCAGCTCTGCCCTTGCCAGCTGTGTGACTTTGGACAAATAATCTTAGTTTCCCCATCTGTAAAATGGCTGTGGTAATAGCACTGGGCTATTATGATTTGGCTCGTTAAGGCAGAAAACACGAACAGTACCTGGCACACACCAAGTGCTCCGTACTTGCTGGTCAGTGTTCTTACAGGGACCAGTAGAGAGTCTGGGCTTAGAGGTGACCACCTGTCTCCATGTTGGGTTCTGGCTGTGGGCACTGCTAGCATTCTCCCAGGAGCAAATGGCTGCACATTACCCCTTAAGACTTATAAGAGCCACTTAAGACCTGTAACTTACTAGCTGCTAAAAATGCAGTAAGAAAATGTAGTAGTTTTGTTTGTAGTACTTTTTTTGGCCTGGATATTGCTTGAAAAAAGTGGACTACTAAACTTGGAAAATTTGTCAAAAATGTTACAGTGGGATCCATGCATACATGTAGTTAAGCACATTATCAACAGAATTTTAGATTTAATCCTATATAATATTTAAGCTATTTTATTTGTGCCATTGAGTTCCTGCACTTTTGCCATCATACTTTGTCATTATAATGAATAGCATTCATCAATACAATTACATTTTATGAATGTAAACAAAGAATGCCTATCTAACCTTCTTGAGTATTAACCAGTCAAAACCAAGTACTTTTACAGAACGGGTTACAGCTCTCATTTTTCAGTTACGAGGGAGAAAGTAAAATGTCCTAAGATTTGAACCAAATATCCAGATCATCCAAAAATGGTTTCAAAATGGACTAATATGTCATTTCCCTAGAAAGTAAACTAATTTTATGTGGAAAAAAAGTTGTGACAAAATGGAATCGAAGGTCCTTATTTTCAGCATACCAAATCTGATGCAGAAACCATATGTGCTGGAAGTCACGTATGTAACTTCTATTAAGAACTATTTAACTTCTACACAAGAACCCAGGGAAACAAAGCTGGGCTCCACTGTGGAACCTTATGGATATTATTTCACAGAAGGCTAATGTGAGGCTTAAATGTAAAGCATGTAAGCACAGGAGTCAAGACATAGGAAGAGCTCAGGAAACACTGGCTATTACAATATGTGGAAAAATACAGCCTCCCAAATCAGTGAATTTTAAGGACGATTTGTATCAACTATAGTTAAAACCAGGCAGCCTTTCTCAGGAATGTGATAAAAAATAATTTAGGGGTGCCTGGGTGGCACAGTGGGTTAAGTGCCCGACTCCTGGTTTCAGCTCAGGTCATGATCTCAGGCTTGAGATCAAGCCCCGCGCTGGGCTCTGAGCTCAGGGCAGATTCTGCTTGTTTCTCTCTCCCTCTCACTCTCTAAAATAAATGAATCTTAAAAATTTTTTTTAAAAAAACCTCTCCCTCCTTTACCCCACAAAAGCAGCTGGTGGAAGACCCATTCCTCTCTTAAGAGTATGTGGGAGGTGAAGGGGACTCGGAATCCTGCCAAAATGGCAAGTGACTTAAGTTGCTACATGTAGGGACTGACAATCTTCTGCCTTAAAATGTTTTAGGACTCTTAAACGCTCATTCAGAATATTCTATTGAAATTCATCTAGTATGAAGATCTCGTTTAGACTTTTGGCTACATGTCCATCTCTAAAAGAATTGTTAGGTAAGCTTTCCAAAGATCAAGAGAAAACTCCCCAGAACGGCAGTGGTTCCTTTTGTCCGCATGCTGAGACGCTCCTTATTCAGCCAGTACGTCTCCTGTAATAGAACTTTATGAAGCAGCAGGAAGTTGAATTGTGAGATGGATGTTTACCCTCAGCATGTATACAGTCACTGGCTGGTGTTTCCAGATCTGAAGCAGGGAGAGGTGGTGGGGGGAAAAGGATAAAAGGCAGCAGCGGAGGGGCTGGGGGCTGGACACTGGGGAGGGGGTGGGCCGTGGTGGGCGCTGTGAAGTGTAGACTGATGAACCACAGACCTGTACCCCTGAAACAACACATTCTATGTTTAAAAAAAAAAAAAGATAGCAAGAGGGGAAGAATGAAGGGGGGAAATCAGAGGGGGAGATGAACCATGAGAGACTGTGGACTCTGAGAAACAAACTGAGGGTTCTACAGGGGAGGGGGTGGGGGGATGGGTTAGCTTGGTGATGGGTATTAAAGAGGGCACGTTCTGCAGGAGCACTGGGTGTTATGCACAAACAATGAATCATGGAACACTACATCAAAATAAATAAATAAAAAGGTGGCAGGCAGCTACCTGCAGACACAAGGGTGAGGTGAGCACTCCTCGAGTCAGAGAGAAGTAATTGTTAAACCCCAACCCAGAATAATGGAAGTAATTTCCTCAAGCATTAGCAGATACACTTGATGATGCTTTTTTGTAGCACTTTGGGTAATTCAGTTCCATTTAAAAAAGGACCAGATGGGGCAGAACTGCTTGCTTTTTGGGTTCCCATGTTGATTATTCTTGGGGCATTGTTTTCCGTGTGTGCAATCAACTATGCCCAGAGAGCTCATGTTATGACCCTATCTATGCTGGCCTGCCTTCCCCCAGCCCATGCTGACCAGGGTAAGGGGCACAGAAGGCTGCCGTTAGCAGTTGGGCCTGGACACCCAGAGTGCATAACCCTTGGTCATAGGCTTCCCCTAATGTTACCTTGATGTACCTAGCCACCCATTCTACAGAACTTGTGTTTCCAGATGGGCCCCTTTAGGTCCCCACTGGGTGTAGAGGAATGTTACTTGGAAGTACGGCCCATGGACCAGAACTGGTCTGTGAGGAGTACAGAAAATAAGCATTTAGAAACTTCCACTGTAATCTGACAGTGCTGGAACATCCAAGCACCCGATTCTGTATTCTATAAAAGTGTCCACAATACACTGGAGGGGTAAAAACTGTCCCTCTCCTCACATACCATGCTGCCTGGGAGCTTGGGCCACCTGGCAGAAAACAGGCCGTGGATGCTGCCAGACCTGGGTTCAAATACTGGTGAGAGCACTTTCTAGAAGTATGACCTTGCATAATCACTTCACCTTTTTGAGTCCCGATTTCCTTACCAGGAAAATGAGGATAATCCTAATGGGTCAACTGTAGCAATGGCAGGAGCAATCAATCACTGGACGGTTCTCATGCTGTGCAGGCTCGGAGTATCTTCACGCATTCACTCACCACTCTCCATCATCCTCCGTGAGGAGTATTACCACCACCACCCGCATTTTACAGTTGAGAGGACCAACGCATAGAGAAGTTAAATAACCTGGTCTAGGTCACACAGCCATAAGTGGCAGAGCCGGGCTTCAAACTTTGGCAGTCTGACTTCAGCTGAGCTCCAACCCACTCTGCAGTAATGTGGATCAGATGAAAAATGTACCTGTGTGACCGACTCTGCTCAGGGACTGCTATCGATCTGCCGCTGTCCTCTCGAGTGGCTGAACCCACCCGGCACAGCCCAGGCTTTCTGAGTCCTGTTGCAGAGCAGGCAGACTGCTCACTGTCATGGTGACACTGCTGAGACGCTTGCTTGGTGCTGCCCCACCCCCACCCAGGATGGGACCACCATGTTGGGGAGAATCTCGGGTCCCCTGCCAGGCCTTTGGACACAGAGACTGCCGGGCACGCACTCTGGGCCAGCCCCGGACGCCTTCCCACTGCCTTCCCGGCTCACGTGATGGAGGGTTTGCATGTTCTGGGAAGTAGAAGGCAGGTCTAAGCCTTAATTTAACCAGCTCACTACACAGGTAATAAGAATAATTCAGTGGCTTTTCAACTTTTAAAGCAGTGCAAGCATGCATACACACACACACATAATCCCAAAACAGAATAGGTAAAGCGGAGTTTGTGACAGAAGGGTGGAGGGTCTGCAGCTGTCTTCCCAGACTTTTCTATGACAGCACCCCCGCTCTGCCCTGCCGGGTCCTAAGGTGAAAATTGTAGGCCTGAAGAACAGTCTGAAAAGCTATCTTCAGAAACCTTTCAAAATTAATATTCTACACTCTTCAAAGTTGTAAGATAAAGAGGCTGGAGACAAAGTGGAAATCAGCCTCATGTAGAAAAGGTCTACATCATCATAGAAGAACGCGATTCCTAAGTATGAAGGACATACGTACATAAAGCAGAGACATTCACAGCTTTGACCCAAACCAGCTGTGATGTGGGGGACATCCTAAACCGTTCTGGGCCTCCATTCCCTTGCTTGTGAACTGAAGGCACCAAATAAGGTTACCTTTCAGGGTTTCTTGCAAGTAAGATACTTGTGCTTTTATAGGGTTGTGAGCAGTCTTTTCTGGAAACTTGGGGGTGGGGGGATGAAAGACACCCATCCGTTCCGGGGAATGGGTGAGGAAATGGCAGGACACATTTGTAAGCAGAGAGGCAGCCAGCATGACGCCAGGATGAAAAGCCTCATGAAGCTGCAGGATGATGAGAGGCAGTAGGACTCAGTGCGTATGAAGGGTAGCCACACCGACCTCCATGACAGAGGCCAGGAACGTCTGCAGACTCAGGGCCAGCAACCCCAAGACAACACTCAGAAAGTGGAGGGCTGGGTGATAACCAAATGATCACATTCTTCCCAAGTTTTGATTGAATGAAAAGCACCTTTCAGGATGGATGGAATACAACACGCATAGTCAATCTTCACTTCAGAAGAGTGAACACCATCATGAAATTCCATGTATCACTTTGAGGATGACTGTATGTCTATACTCAACATTGTCGAGTTTGATAGCTTTCATTCCAAAGCTTAAAAAAGTGAATTAAGAAAATAGATTTTTTAGTGACACTGTTAATGACCATTGAAAGTATAACCAGCACACACGTTCACAAGAGTGAGCTGTGCAGAGTTTTGTTAGGGGTGTAGATAAAACTTTAAGGGTGAACATCCAGTACAAATTAGAACATCTATTATTTGGGGCTTGAGGTCTTAAACCGAAATTTCAGTGCTTTAAGATTCTCAGGAGGGAACCCACATATTCCCATGTGTATCTGGTGCTTTGGTATAAGGAATGTTCCAAATCCATGGCCGATCTGGGGAAAAAACAAACAAACCACATTACATATGTATAATACTTATTTGAACAGGATTACAAAAAATTCACTTACCTCATAGGATAAAACCACCCATGTGTTTACCCGATAGGATAAAACCACCACGTTTACACATTAAGAACCCCTCTCTTCTTTTTAAAGATTTATGAGAGTGAGTGCCCGTGAGCACACATGGGGGTGGAAGGGAGAGGGAGAATGAATCTCAAGCTGACTCCGTGCTGAGCCCAGAGCCCAATGCGGGGCTCAATCTCCTGACCCTGAGATCACAACCCGAGCCAAAACCAAGAGTCAGATGCTTAACCAACTGCACCACTCAGGCACCCCCTTAAGAACCCTATCTGAACCAACCCCAGTCAACAGCCCATTTCAGACAGTGGCTATTGGCAAAGGTTCATGCTGACACGGGCAAGTGAACAGGGAAGCAGGCCAGCAGAAACCAGGGTGTACATCCTGGCTTGCCGCTTATATTGACCAGTCACTTTGCCTCTGTCAGCCTCAGTTTCCTTCTGTGTACCTGACTGTGGCGCGGTCAGGAGGGGAAGTGAGATAAATGCACGTAGTGTCCGAGAGCATCCCGTAGAGAAAGAACCTCACAAAGTGCAGCTGTTATCTTTTACAGCGCGGGAGAAGCCAACAGTAACAGACAGCACACTGCTCTCAGCAGGTCATGGTCACATATAATCGAGAGGCCTGAGGCCACCTCCATGAAATGGTTTTGTTCTGTCCGTTAAGGCTAATAATTGATGAGGCATGAAGGTCTCTGTATAATGACTGTAGACCGATGGTGAAGCAAGCAACATGCCTTGGTAGGACACAATGGAGAGAACACTGAAGACCTAGGTTCAGGTCCTGCCCTCATCCTTCTCCGCAAGCTCGGGAAAACACTGGGATCTTGGCCTCGGGTTCCTCAGCTGTGAAATGGGAATTAGCTACATAAGCAACCTCTCAGGAGGATTGTGAAACATAGCCGGGAGAACACCTGTGGAAGTTCCTGGCATGTTGTAGGTGCTCAATAAACATGAACTTTCCCCCCTTTTAACTGGGGTTTGAGAAATTGAAAAAAATCAGAGCAAATCACTTTTACCATGCATCACTACTCCTAGAATCAAACCAATTCTAAAGAACCATAATAGTAGGGGTAGGGTGTAAATAGGTTGCTAGCGTTAAGAATCAATCTCCACATAACTGTCCTGAAGAGGAGAGCTACGACAACTCTGAAGGGGTGAATGCTTACAGTAAGGTGGCCACGCGGCAGGTGTGCTGAGGGTACCATCGGCAGAAGCAGCCGCCCAGCACCGCCAACCCACTCTCGGGGAAGCTTTCTCCTCTTCCCGAACAGAGGCAGAGCGCAGCTCGGAGGATGGCCTGGCAAACAAAGGGAGGCTCTCCTCACACCTCCCGGTGTTGAATAACGGCCGCGCCAGCATGCAAACAGCAGGACCCAGCAGATGTGCAGGGAAAGAAGGCTGAAGATGGCAACAAGTTATCAGAACCCTGTTCTCTTGTCTTCGGCCTTGAGATGGTGGGAGAGCCTGAAGCAAGCTTGTTAAGCCTGAGAGAGAGCCATAATCCAGGGCCTGTGAGACACGCTTCATCAAAGGCTGAGGGTTTGGCAGTGCTGGAGACTCCCCACTGGCCTGAACAAACCACTGGCTTTCTTCTACGGGGGACATGGTCTTCTGTGGCTGGACTTCTCCCATCTTTTCCTGCAGACTGCTCTGTTGGGTAACATCAGCTCTACTTCATCCCCAAGGCAAAGGACACCCCGATCCTTGCTATGGCAGTAGCTATTAGATTCTTCACTGAGGCAGGGTTTGTGATGCAAACACGTGCCAGTCAGCCAGCATCTTGGAGACCACCACTGCATTTATTCCTCTCCCTCACAATTAGCCAACGATAACCAAGTAAGGTAACTATCCATTGGCAAATCCCTGGACACACCGCTCGATAAATGAGCAAATGTCTCTGCCTACGGGCTGACCATTTGCCATGCCGGCTGAGAGGTTCACCACTACCTGGGGAGAGAGACGCAAAAAGGCTAACAGGAAGGTAAGAGGTGGTTGTGACTCTGTTGTCTTCTGACCATTACTAGAAGTCAGCATTCACACTTACTGGCTTAGATGAAAGCCTGTTTTAAGCAATCCTCCTAAATTGTCCCATGAAAGAAAAACTTGCCTCATGAAATAGTCCTGCATATGTTTGAAATATTTGTCAAGTGCTGGTTAGATGCCAGGTACTCTGCTAGACAAAGCAGGGGTCCTCTCAGTTTATAGTCCAGGGGGACAGACAGACGAGCAGGCAGGCCGTGGTGCCAGAATTCTGAACTTGACCACGTCAGCGCAGTGGTTCCCGAACCTGGCTGACGTGAGAATTGCCAGAGCATTTCCCCAGAGCTTTCCATCCGTCTGGGCTGGGGCCTGGCATTACACATTCTTACCAAGTTCTAAAGGTGATCTTAACACAATCAGAGTTTGAGATCAGAGGCTAAATGGGATGAGCTTTTTCCTGTGATATAATGGAAGGATTTAAAACAGGAACGTGACAAGGTGAGAGGTGCATAGCAGCAGGGGAGAAGATCATGTCCACTGGGAGGGGACCAACACCAGGGAGATGAATAGGCAGTGCAGCCTAGGTGAGACACAGTGAGGCCAACATTAAGGCCATGGCAGGAAGGCTGGGGATGAGGGGACAACCAAGGGTTTTATCTCTGTGTCTATTCCATCTGTCCCTGTGGTCAGTCAGTTGAGGACTGCGTGCATCTGACATCTCTAACTCCATAACTTAGCTCTCTGTGGGGAGGTGGCACAGGGTGATGGTAAAGGGGTCATGGGCATGGCAGACATGGGGCCCTGACCAAACTGACCTGAGTGCTTAGGTTCCTTGTCTATAAAGTAGGGGTTATATTAGTACTGGTATCATGGGGGCAGTGAGGATTCAATAAACTCAGGTCAAGTGCTCATAGCAGTTCCTGGCACATAAGTACTTGATGAGTGCTAGCTGCTATAATATTATAATGATCACCACCTTCAACTCACAGTGGGTGAGGATTGTCATTATTCTATATGCTGTGTAGGTCCATCAGGTTTTTTAACAGCCAGACAAACCCAAATACAATACCCCGTTCTACTTAGCCAGCAAATAAGCTCTTTGCTCTAATCCTCTAAGAAATGGCCCTTGTGTTACAGTTAGGCCTTGACTCCCATGTCCAAACACCCATACACACATTTCCCACTGTCTTCAGGGGAACTTGATATCCTACCTATAGAAGCCACTGTCTGTCACCTGAGCAATCACCTTTAATTCTTTCCTTGTATCAGGCACAGACTGTGTTTGTATATGGCGTGTGAGTGATCCCAAAGAGATGAACTAATGAGATTTCTGATGCCACTTTACCTTAGCCTACTCTGAAATCAACAAATGGATAAAAGACTTGCCAGCTTGCAATACAAAGGAAAGCTCCAAAATATTTTACACTGGGTTACCGACCTAGTAGAGATGCAATCTTTGGTAATTGTGATTCCAGTGTTATCTGAAACCCATTAACTCTCTTTTCTGTGACGATCTCCCATATTAATATGTGACTAAAAAAAGCACAAGAGAACAATCTATCCAGTGGGAGGAAGTATAATTCAAATTGCTAAAAACCAAGTACTGATTTCAATATCATCTGATAAAATTACTTTTTACTTTGATAATTTCAGATTTCCTTAAGGTTTCTGTTTACAAAGTAATTTTAAAAGCTAAGGTGGAAGTTTGGTGTCAGGATTCTGTTTGTACTATGAAACAAAAAGATTTTATTAAAGGAGATGATCAAAATCCTGTCTAAAAACCTTTCCTGGTTCGCTCATTAAAAAAAAAAATCCTCATTTCTAAAGATCTTTCAAACAGGCCCTTGAAAATTAAGCATATCAACAACGATTTTAAGTGACTTATTTCTTTTGCATTTTCTTTGGATTAGAAAGTTAAATCACCTTTGTTTCCCTTACATAAATACTTTATGAATCAGTCTCTACTATTTAGCAATAATTATGAGAGGTCTAGACTGAAGTTTATTCCTATACTATCTAAATTCAAGGAATTATTTCAAATGAATAAAGCAGTAGGGGGAATGGTTACTATCTGGGAACCAATGGTTTAAAGCACTTTAGAGGATTATATATACTATATATATGCTAAATCTAGATCAGGTGTATCTCATGTGCCAAGTAGGTTTTAATGACCTCTCCGACTGAGCAATTACATATACAGCTAATTAGCTTAGTTCTAGACATTTAAAACTTAAATTCTAAAATATACTAAACCTGCAAAAGATACAACTTGGCAGATACCACCTTAACCAATTGATCAATACTGACTTTATAAGTAATCAGGCAGATTGTTATCATGTGACTCCTTATATGATGCACTAAGAAAAACAACATCTCTTTTGTGGTGTTCTTGGCAAAAGTGCATACTCTGGACCTACTTACAAAAAAACAATGGACAAAGTCCCTCACCATCTATAAAATAACTGGCCTGTGCTCAGCAAATTGTCAGTATCATAAAATACACAAAAATAGTGGCACTATTCCAAATTAATGGAGACTAAAAAGAGTGATGATCAAATGTGACATGTAACCTCAAACTTCCCTTTTGCTATAAAGGACACTATTGGGGCAACAGATGAAATCTGAATAAATTCTGTAGGTGATAGTATTCAATCAATGTTAATTCCTGATTTTGGTACCTGTACTGTGGCTATGTAAGATGTTTTTAAGAAATATATATTGATGTATTTAGAGATTGCAAACGTGTTTACAACTTTCAAATGGATCAGAAAAAAGTTAACATGAGAAAGAAGGATTATGTAAATATAAAATATTCACGTTCGGAGAACCTGGGTGAAGAGAATATGGGAATTCTTTGTACTTAGAACTTTTTTCTGAATCTGAAATTATGACAAAAAATTAAAAATAAATACTACAGTTGACTCTTGAACAACATGGATTTAACTGCACAGGTCTACTCACATGTGGGCTTTTTTCCCCAATAAATATACATACATTACTTAAGTGCATTTTCTCTTCCTTATAATTTTCATTTTCTTTTCTCTAGCTTACTTTATTGTAGGAATACAGTATAAAATACATATAACATACAAAATGTGTTGACTGTTTATGTTATCAGTAAGGCTTCTGGTCAACAGTAGGCTATTAGTAGTTAAGTTTTTGGGGAGTCAAAGGTAATGTGCAGATTTTCAACTGCACTGGGGGTCAGTGTCCCTACCCCCCAACACTGTGCAAGGGCCAACTGTATACATATTACCTTGTGTATTTTTTTATTTTTATTTTATTTATTTATTTATTTATTTATTATTTTTTTTTTAAAGATTTTATTTATTTAATTGACAGAGAGAGAGAGAGAGGGAACACAAGCAGGGGGAGTGGGAGAGGGAGAAGCAGGCTTCCCGCCGAGCAGGGAGCCCGATGCGGGGCTCGATCCCAGGACCCTGGGATCATGACCTGAGCCGAAGGCAGCCGCTTAACCAACTGAGCCACCCAGGCGCCCCCCTTGTGTATTTTTTTAAAAAAAGGAGAAAAAAACACCAAAAAACAACCCAGGTCATTTAACATAACTAAAGTCTCTGAAGCTCTGTATGTTCAATTATTCTTAAATTTGACATATAATTTATTCTTTAAGTCCAAATAAGATAGGCTTTACTTAACCTTACCTTGTTTTACCCACTTTATAGTGTATCAGAGAATACAAAAAATATAAGCTAAAAAGGGAGGACAAAGCAGATGCTTCTGGCATATAATAGCTCAGGAGAGATCACATACTGGTCTATTTTATTCTTTTCAGTCTCAGGGTCACATAGCAAGTGGGACATATGGAAATAAGATTTAAACCTTGGTGATTGTGCTTTATAAAAGTTTTTTTTTCCTCACGTCAGATGGGTAACTGTGCCGAGGTCGTAACAAAGTTTGAGGGAGGCACGTGTCACACATTCGCGTGAATACCCAATCATCACACTTAGGAACTACAAAAGGATCTAAAAGATTTCCTTTAAAACTACAACTCCTATTAGTCAAATGAGTTTGGTTAGGTATAACTTTTCAAGTGAAGAGTAATTTCAACTCCATAAGGCCAGGGATTTGTGTTTGTCTTGTTCACAGATATATTCCAAGTACCTAGACAGTGTCTGCACACAGCAGGTTCTTAGTAATACAACTGTGGAGAGAACAGATAAGCAGCAAGTACTGTGTAAAGCAAGGTGGACCTGCAGCTGTGTCTGTTTTGCTTTATTATTTGATCGATTTCTTGGTTTCAGGGATGTCTGCTGGTATCTTGGAATAAACTATAATTTGTTCACAGCAATGTATTTCTTTGCTAAGCTTTCTGTACAGTCCTCAGATTTTAAAAAATAACAAACAAGATCTTATACATGTTACAGTGGTTTGAAAACCATTTTCAAACAAAGTGCTTTTGAAATGTTCTTAACCACTCCCTTTTCCAAATCTGACACCTTTCCTCTAGTCCGTAGGATTCCCTTGAATGCTGGCTACATATGAACTGGTGATATCTGAGTGACTGTCATTATTCTGCATGCTACTGAAGCAGTGTGGAAGGTAAAACTGTACTAATAAAAAATAAAATGCTCCAGTCTCTCTTGTATCTATCTTTCAAAGGAAATGTATAAACCCAGAAAACTTTGCTAAACAATGGAAAACATTCTGCTTGCTGGCCAAATAAAAGATTCATTGTTACAGAGTCTAAGATACTACCCAGTTGGAAACTTTTAAATTCTTGAGAATGCTTTTTCTATCAAAACTGAAGGGACCTCAGGATATTTTTAAGGCTCCTCTATCTCTTTCATTCTTGCTTTCAAAGTCCTTTGGAGATTAGGATTAAGTGGAGGAGGTGGACTTCCAGCCAAGGTTCTGGGCTGGGGGTGGAAAGTACAGAGCCCAAGGCCAGACCACAGGAAGTCAAACTCAGTCCACGGTCCTCCGTCCCCACCTCTAATAAGCTTATTCAGAACTCAGGTTTAAAGAGGAAAGAAAAAAACAAAAAGAAAGGAACACGAACAGACAGTAGGAGAAAAAACAAAGGTACAGCATAAAGCTGGAAGGTGGAAGGAGAGGTTTTCACCGTCAGATCCTGAGACGCTGGGTGGGTTTAGGGACTGTCCCACATGGGCCTTAGGCTCTTTTCATCCTCCGCTCAGCAAGGGGAAGGGGAGAAAATGAACACTGGTCCATTATTACACGCCAGGAACTGAACTGGATATTCTAAATAACAGAAACAACAGCTAATGTTTAGTGACTGCTAACTCTGCACTAGAGACTGTGTCAGGTACTTTACAGATAACATCTTGGTTACTCTTTTCAACAAACTCTATGAAGTAGGCACTCTTATTTTCCCACTTTACAAATAGAGACACTAAGGCCTAGAGAAAGCAAATAACTGCCCAAGGTCACTTAGGTTGCAAGGTTGGCACAAACACAGCCTAGTTCTAAAGCACTATTTTTCACTTGTGTGTGCAGGGTGGGTTGGGAGGAGACAGATTCCCTGAAATTCTGATAAAACTGATATGATCTTGCTAGTGAAAAATGAAGATGCATAAATATACAACAAATTTAGAGGACTCAATATACATAAATTGGAAAGAAGGAAAAAAAGAACACCTTCTGAAGCTTGCTATCAATATGACTGATTATAGCTCTAGATTATAGCTCTGCAGCTGCACCCTAGAGAGCATGAGACTATATGGACACATCTGACAAAGTTAATACCACTGAAGAAACAGGTCCACTGGAAGGGGAAGGTCTGGTTTACCACGAAAACCAGAAAGGGCAAGTGACTGTCCAGGGAAGAAAGGGACCCAGTGGGCAGGGCTGACTGTTAGGGAATCAGAGATTTTGGAATATTAATGGAGTGATGTCATTAAAACTTTCCAAACAAAAACCAAATATTCCCTGTTCAGATTCAGAATTTACTCAAAAATCATTGACTATAATCTGGCTATCTGTGTAGGCATCTACCTTCCAGGGGAAAATATGCTGGTTATAATAGGACCTTTTGCCATTTTAAATTAATAAGCATGTCCTGATTATACATCTGCTCCTGTGTGAGTCTCGTAAGTGTGAACTTGCTTTAAAGACAGATATTCTAGGGCTAAGACAAGTGCAGCCTGTGGGGCTGGGTCAGACCTGGGATGGAGCTGGTCCCACTCATGCCGGCCAGCTTTCCTCCAAAAACATGAACCTGAACCAGTGTTCCAACGACTTTCTATGATGAAAAACACTTGGGTCACTGCCTTTAAGAAAGTCATAGTCTAGGGCAGCCTGGCGATCTCCCCTCTAAGAGGATGGGAGGTATCTGTGAAGTGAAAATTATTTTCATCAAGATATTAAGCCATTATTTGTCATCTTCACTTCTTGCGAGTGTATAGAAGCTTTGGGACAGGATATTGCAACAGAGCAGCTATGATATCAGCGGTCTTTCATTAACCCAGATAGTAAAGAGGCCTGCCTGCAAAAATTGTAAATAATGCCACCTTCCTCACCGTTTTTTGGAAATAGTAAAAAAAAAAAAAAAAAAATTATATATATAATAGATTACTTTTAAAATATAAAAAATTCTTGGTTTTGAGTTCTAATATAGTACTCTCAATAGTTATAAAAACCCATGTAAGTAAAAGCTCCTTGTGGTCCTTAATAATGATAAGAGTGCAGAGGGTTTCCTGGACCAACCAGTTTGAGAATGACAGCTGTAGTGGCCCCAAACAGGGCAGCAAAGGGGCCTCTGCAAACCTGCATTTCCAAAGTATTCCCTGAGCCAACCTCCCACTGAGAGACTGACGGCTTCTTCTGGGCACTGTTTCTGTTTCATACATAACACCCATGATCTCCCTTCATGTGTGCCCTACCTTTACTTCCATACAGTTCTGGAGGCAGGTCGAATGGCACAGGAAAGGCGGCCGCTGGCTCCTTGCTCCCTGAGAAGAATTTCTGTTTTACTTTGAAGCTGTCCAGGCCCTGAAAACACAAAGAGGGCATCTATGATTGCACCCCATTTTCTGAAAAAGATCTCAAGAAGCAATTATATCTCTATGGTACTCACACCAAAACTGAAGTTATTTCAGAGCTATTTTCAATGTTTGATAGATCAGATATATTTACAACTCCCCTAAATTAATCTTTCCTAAAAATAAGAGGTTCAAATTTTAAAAATTAAATTATAACAAAGTTCACAGATGTTTAATAAAGGAAATAAGAGAGAAAACAATTTTGGATATCATAGCCCATTTCTCCTAACCGCTATGTACAGTTTGCAAGGAGTGTGTAGAAGACACTGTATATAAATAATTTCAATATTGCCATAGTAACAGGCTGCTCACTCTGGTGTAAGAATAAAAGCTGCCTTCATGTATAATGAAAGTGTTCCAATATAATGTGATAGGAATATAAAAACAAAAACTCTTCCAGACTCACCAAAATGGAAGGTTTATTCCAAGAACTCCAGAATAGGGTATTATTTTTAGATCTTAACCAGGGTACAAGTTAAAGTTCTGTATCTCAGCTGATGTAGAGAACCACTACCGCCTTCTAGGACCTTTACATCAGTGCAGGTGCTTAATATGTGAGCCTCATTTTCCCCATGCCTCCACACCTTGATCCTCCTCCTCTGATCTCCCTTGGTGGACCATTCCAGCACCCTGTTTGCAAGTCAGTCTGTCTCTCATCCCTTCTGTCCACCCATCTAAATTACACATCCATCCTCCATATCAAACAGTGCTAATGTCCTTGGAACCCAAACAAAGAACTAGAACTATAGTTCTTAGTCTTGATGATCACATAACTGAGTAGGGAAGGCTGCTTGTGGGCACATTGTAGGACATGGTAAGAGCCGGAGTTATGCTGATCTGGGCTCCAGGCCACCTGGTTCTAACACTGCTCTGGCATTTGCTGAGCTGCGAGAATGGCTGATACTTGCATTTGTTCATTCAACACATTATTTCTTCAGTGCCTCTTTGGTGTCAGGCACTGACTGCCTAAGAGTTAACAAAGATGTCATCATCCCTGTCCTCATGGGGTACAGTCTAGTGGGGAGACAATGCATTTATAAAAGTGAAATAATTACATAATTGTGATGACCACTATGAAGAAAAACAGAAGTACTGGGAGAGAGAATAGTAGACCTATTTTAGATTGGGGGGGGGATGGTCAATAGAAGCCTCCCTAAAAAAAGTGACATTTTAAAGAGGAGTAGGGTTAGGAGAGGGGAAAGTGGAAAGAATATTCCAGGCAGAAGGTGCAGAGGTAGGAAAGAGCATGCATGTTCCAGTAGCTAAAAACAATGGTTAGTGGGACACCCGGCCACTTATTTACTAGGCCTCAATTTCCTCATTTGTAAAATCAGAATAAAGCCATCTGGATGTCACCACCTTAAAATGTCTTTTATGTCAACACCTAGCCTTGGTGCTCAGCTGGTGTTCAAGCAATGCTGAGCTGCAAAAATAGGATAAAGGCATCTTGCCTGCTTACTCTACAGGCTTTTCCATTAGATAAATCAATGTGCAAATGCTCTGTTCACATGAAGACTTATAGAAAGGTATGGGCGATGAAGAAAGGGCCAGCACTGATGAAGATGGGGATGAGAAACAGTGAAAGGCATTAAGTAATAACTGGCTGAATGCTATACAGAAAAGAAATGCCTTTTACCAATTTTGGGATAAGGAAAGGCTTTGTAGAAAACATTACAGCTAGGCCTTGAGAAATTGGGATAATTCTGATAAATAGAGATGGCAGGAAAGAACATCAAGGGAGACCAGCATAAGCCAAGGCAGAGTTGTTAAAGCATGGAGCAGGTAACATCAGGCAGATGGGAAGTGAATGACCTACACACAGAAGGAGGGCTGAGAACACTGGAGAGAACCAGATGGAGGAGGTTTGAACAGGAAGCAGTATGGGTATCTGTGGCTTGTACCTATTTAACTGGGCCCAATCCCAGGCCATAGTGACTCGGGATGGGCAGGTCGGCCACATCAGAGGCATCAGGGAAGAGACCATCTTTCTGCTCAGGAGTTCATTCGGTAAGATGTGAGCCTTGAGCTGCTGGGGGCTCTCACATACTTCAAAATGAACTCTGAAAATACGGCCCAAACCCATGGATTCAGCTCTGCCTGAAGCAAGGGACTCAACCTCCATGTTTGCCTTATTTCTTACTTGTGTGAGTTGGTTATCTGTCACTTAAAACCCACAGCATCACAAGACCCCAGTTATTAAAGTGTGTGGCCCTTACTTTGATATACAGCGAGGAGTTGAAGGTTTTTGAACCGAGAAGTTCCACTATAAAGGCAGACTGGCACAGATGAAAATAGATCCAACAAGGAATTGTTAGAGCCAGAAGACTGAGAGCTACTGCCACACCAATGGGAGATGGATGAGCGAATGGCAATGGGGAAACAAATATCAGCATCATAACAAAAGCTGAGATACAGTGAGTTCAGAGGAGAGTGGGGTCAGTGGAAAGGGAAGGAAATGGATTTGAAAGAAACTGATGGAAAAATTAAAAATCAGGGATATGTGAGGGCAGAGGAGGAAGGGGGTAAGGAGACCAAGGGCACTTGAAGGGGGACACTATAGCCTGCCCCGTCACCCCCACTTCCTCCTACCCTGGGGAGGGCTGCTGGGCCATCTCCACAACAGTCAATGCTGGTGCCCCTCCTCACAGCTTACCTCCAACAAGCTCTGGATCGGAGGATAAGCTTACGCTCTTCCTTACGCATATCACTTACTTGCTGTGTGACTTGAGGTGAATGACCTAACTTTTCTGGGTCTGAGTTTCCTCATCTATTAAATGGTATGCTGACAGTAAATTATTTAGAACAATGACTCGCACATGGATGTAAATTAGTATAGTATGTACATCCAGGATGTTCTTGTGATGAAATTACTCCTATTTTACAAGGGAGGAAATAAAATGGAGGTTAAATAGTTGCCCAAGGCCATAGAGCTATTAAGCGGTAAGGCTGGAAATCAAACCCAGCCTTTCTGATTCTTAATCTTCTGTTCCTTCAATTAAATGAAGAAACAGTTTCACATTCACCCACCAGGAGCCACAACAAAGGAAAAATTCCTCGAAAATTTAAGAGGTAATATTGAAGCAGACCAAATGAGGAGGAGCCAAATTCTGGAAACCGTGGTGCTTGACATTTGTGAAAAGAGGCCAGACGTTGGGAAGTGATGTCATTTAATGACTATTAAATACTTTATGTGGAGTTTCAGATAACAACAACTTCCCTCTTCTTTGGCTCCTAGTCCATTTCTGTTATTTTCAAACAAATCATCACAAAGGATGGAGAGTCTTTATGGCCTGGCCCAGATCTGATGCCCCAACATGCTTTGGCACGTGCCTATTCTCTGGTGTCTTACTTCACATATAAGAAGCTTTGAGCCATCCACGTCTGACAGGAAGCAATACGCTTTCCTGAATGCCATCTCTGATCTAAATTCTAGGGTATTATATGAAAAAAAAAAAAAAAAAGTACCACTTTTCCCTTCAATCTGGATGTCAAATAATTTGAAGCTGTCGTCTAATTATCATTATTTATATATCACAGTGGTATCACTTGGCATTTTGTAAAACAGAGGAAGGCACCCTCCCAGGCAGAGATACTTAAAAAGACAGTTAAGACAATATGTTTATAAAATACCAGGTGAGAGGGTGGACATCTATCACACTTGAGAAATTACTGGCTTTTCCCTTCATCAGCTCTGGGAGGAAAAGAGCTGTTATCACCATCATGACGGATTAAGTTTAGCGGCTTAGCTCCACCACAGAGAACAAGAAACATGTCCAAATCTCAGAGATATCGTTTATTTTTTAGTTGCATCCGATTAGCATCCTCAAGCAGTAAAGCCCTATACAAGGCATCAAGTTTTCCTGGATAAAACGGTAATGACAGTGAGCCTTCTAGAAGGAGCACACTTAATTAAAGATGGACTAATTGACAAGGAAGTGAAGTACAGGGAGGTGGCTGTGTTGTCCTTCCTATAAGGCGCCATATGATCAACTGTGTTTCCAGGTGGGGGCTTAGGAAAAGCTTCATGAAGGAGAGTAAGCCCAAGAGGCCCAAGAAGGGTGGGTTTCTGATGAGCAAAGGGCTGTGTCAGTGGGGTGGAGTGCACTTCAAAAGGAGAAAAAGGAACAGCATCCCATCACCATGGGTGTGAGGTCAAGATTTTGACCTCTGCCTTCCACCTTCTGTTGAACTGCTTCATCTACGAGTTGGTGTTGCTACTGCTCACTGCTCAATACCTGACAAGTGCTAGGCACTGTTTCAACCATTTAAAGGCAAGAACTCTCAAACGATGCTACAAAGTTATTAGTTACTGCACTGTCCCCACTTCACACTGAGAAAAAGGAAGCCTACGGAAGTAACAGGTCCAAAGCCTAAAAGCTTATATGCAGGACCCCAACTCCATTGTCATTTTGGCTCCTCTAGCACTGTGTGCTCCCAGAGAGTTCCTTTGCTTGGTCCCTGGTATCTCTCCCACACGTTCTTCTACGTTCTCTTTCCACATGATTTCACTTCCTAATGGAGGTGAAGGATCACACAACTAGTAAGTGGCAGCTGTGCCCCTGGTGCCCCAGCCCACCTCCCCCACCCGCTAAGAAACACTCACAGGTGATTGGAGCCCTGGCTGTGCAGGGGACGTGGGGGGAGGGGTGGGAACAGAGGCTGGGGGGCATGCTGTTCCAGGTCACGGCGGGCCCTGCTGTGCCACACACAGGACTCTGGATATCATCTCGTGGGCCAAGAGGAGATACTGCAGGTTCCAAGTCAGGGGAATGCAGACCCTGGCAGATGGGCAAAAAGAGCTCCAGAAGTGTAGCAGTAGCCAAGATGGAGAACGAGGGAGAGATGGAATCAGTTAGCCAGGAGAGGAGAAGACAATGACCTACAGCAGCAGGCAGCAAAACTCTTGCTAGGGCAGAGGACAGGATGTGGCAGCTGGATGTGGACAGGGAA